TCTGATTTTAATATTTCGCTTTAGTGGCCGCTGTTGTTATACTGTGGTTGAAAACCAGTCGTCCACAAACGTGTCATCCATGAACTGAACATCCACAAACGAATAGTTTCCAAGTTCCATTGGTCGTAGAAATTAAACCGAGGGCTGCTTAAAAGCTTAACACACTTCCATATCCATTAAAGCTGCGGATTCGGTAACCTATCGGTACTCGTTTGGTGGTCAGCGTAAAATTTGTGTTTGGAGTGCGAAATCTAATAGTTCATTGTTTCGTTCCATACCTCACCTTCTCTTTTAGCCCCATGCTCTGTTGAACAAAATTAATGCGGCAGCTAGACCGGAGGAACAGCAGCGACTATCTCAGATCACCATGCAACGATCAATTGCCGCACATCTACTTCCCATCCGTACAGTTGGTGTGCAAGTGAGTTGACTCCCCCTTTCTCTTTCACTCTATCCCTTGCGTTGCACGACTGCGAGCAATGTTTTTAGACACATCAATCCTTATTTTTTCGTATTCAATACTTGGCGATTGTGCCATTTTCATAAAAATGTAGTATAGTGGAATGGAATTTAAAATGCATTTATAAATGAATTATTGAAACACAGTGCACCAGTTCATCGCTGGCTATTATGCAGTCGTTACCCATATCACACTCACAATGATTCTCATTCAGTTCACTGTTGGTTAGGATTATCATCTTAAGCACTATTGAGTCATCTGTGCACACGATCTTACAGATTTACTGCTGTAGCGCTGTTTCCGTGATGAATCACATAATCTTTATGAAACAGGTTTTTCAGCGGGATCGTTGTTAGAGACACGCAGTGATGTGCCTAAGTGTCGTAAACAGCATCGCTGTTACATCTTCTCAGTGTACTTGCCACTTTCGTTTTCAAGAATTTTATATTTCTTCTTTTATACTGCTTTCAATTGTCCTGTCTTTCATTTACTCTCATGCAAATTGGTAACCTAAAGACAGCTGCCGAAACCGTGGCATGAAATTGCGTGATTGATGGTTGTAAAACTACAACTGAAACTGCATAGACTTCAGTTCTCAATTGTTTGTTCTCCCCATCTGAGTCTCACCCCCTACTCCATCATGGTTTGTTTCTCTCGAAATCGAGCTGTTACACAAAACATTATTGATTTATACTGACATTCCTGCATTTCATAACATCAGTTCACGCGTACACTGTTTCTATCAACCAATATTTTCAGATCTATCTTCATATTTTACTAACTTACATCCATGTACTACCATCTAACTCAGCTAGTCACGAATATGTAGGTTACATTAGGCTCAATGGAAAAATGTATGGCCAAGGGTTGAAGATATTCGTACAACCAGAAATCTTTACTTTTTTAAAATGTGCGGCGCCTAAGGTATCAATAAGAAAAGTGCTGTATCTCTCCATTCACTGAGCTTTGTTTTATGTACTGCAAGCCTACAAGTTAGCGCAGAGGCGCTACTCATATGACGAAATACTAATGAGATCAATTTGTTTACCTCCTCATCATCGCCCGTGTTTCACAGTTGCCATTTTCGGATAAGTTCCATTGAACGATTCCCGTTCTTGCTAAATAAATTGTGAATTATGAGGCAGGTGTTTGTTTTCCTGCGTTGTCCCCACTTAATCCAATCCGTTCTCACCCCTCCCCTACGATTTTGTCAGGGCGATCATCGGACATATAGCTATGCTTGTGCCCTTTCCAGTTCCGCTCCACCGGATTGGGATGCACTATCTTTTCTGGCTCATCTTATACCGCGTATTTGTCACAACATCAACCGGTGAGTAACAGTCCGAGTGCGTCGTTTTTCGTAACCATTTGTTCAATAAACTTCGCTCAATCCTTAGGGCATAATCTCACCTCTTGGTGCATATCGCTAGAGTTATAATCAGATAATTCCAAGTCTACTCATTCTACTGCTTTTCTTTCAGTGACCCACTCGGGCGTTACATTGATTACATTTATTAGTAATTCTTGCCAATGGCTAGTTCTTTCCAGCGCTCTGAGCCGTTGTTGAAAATGTATTCCATTGTTAGTCTCAGAGATTTAAGTACCCTTTTGGAATTTCTTAAACAATCGATGCCTACATAGTCTGGCCCAGGTGGAATGAATTGAGCGGTTTAGTAATCTAGATGTAAATCGTTGGGTGTCTGGGATTGTGTTGAGAAGAAACTTGTCATCTCATCGAATTCATCTCAATAGGCTCCGCTGGTTCGCATACGTTATGATTATCTGACGATCGCCTACTGCATTTGCGGTCACCGCTCCAGGCTGGAGAAAACCTCATGAAGCCCAGTAGATGCCGTGGAGACGAGGCATTAATGAATGCACGAAACGATTAGGTAGAGTAGTTGTCTCTCGACCGCCGGGTTGGGGTCCAAAAGACTCAGAAACTGTATGGTTGGAGAACGTCATGGCAGCAAACCGACAGCAGTTGCGTTCTTGTTGTTATATCTTATCAGATCGGAATGTTTGATATTTTGTGTATGCAAAGTTGGACTGTGTGTTTACCAAAGAGGTTAACTTTCTTTCTGTCTCCCTCCACTCAGGCCTAATTCATATCCGCCTTACTTTCATCTACGTGGTATGTATTATGAGCTTGGCTACGACCAGTGAAGTTCGCTTCACTGTATTCTGCTGTTCATAAATGGTGTTAGGATTATACTACGCTCATCCAGATTCTGGCAAGGTAATCAGAGATTTACACCTCAGGTTCTTTTTCTCGATCTTTCTGCCAGTCGTACAATTTCCGCTTCCCGGTCCCATATTGCAGAATAAACAGACACATGTGACATACAGTTTATTCTATGCGAATCCTCTCTGGAATAAACATTCAACAGTCGCTAAGTGTTGACTTGGTGACACATGTTTTTCCCCATCGCACATGTACATTATCACAGATGTTCCTCGTCGGGAAGGAAATTGTGTTTTGTTTGATTAAGATCACTTTTTCTGTTTATGATAACAGCCTGCCACGAATTGTATGATTTGGAGTATTGTGTCCTAATGAACTTCATTGAAGATCACATACGTTTTTATTGGACCACGTGATGTCTTTCTCGCCACCTAACAATAGCTTGGACAAGGGAAAACACCTCATATTCAATAAATGGTTTTGTTTGTGGTTGAACACAAATTTGTTTTATCCGTTTATATGCTAGCTTTGTGTCAGCATGTGCTGTTGTGTATTCCAGCCCAGGTTACATTTTGGTTACTAGTCACACAGATGTGCCCTGTCCTTGAACATGGAGTTTAAAATAATCTGGCTTTAAGACTTTCTGTTTATCATTCCCGGGCTTTTTCCTAGAGCAGGGACAGCGAATGTTTCTGTCATGGACTTGACTACTTTTCTGGAGTCATTCTTTTTGTGACTCATCACTGGCTGTTCCAGTTTATTTTGTACTCAGTCTGTCGGTAATAATTTGCCGAGTTTCATTGTGTTCAAGATTTTGACTGCGTCTACTTATTTGGTAACTATCCTCTGTATATAGTGATATTTAGCTAAAGGAGGAAATGGTATTTACCTTTTGTGCGATCACAAAAACAGAGGCAACAATTACTTGTTCATTATGACTGGATTTAGAGCTCTTCTTCTAATAACCATTACCCGGCCTCTTGATTGATCGTTCTTGATCTGTTCACGTTTGTTGTGCTTTATCGACATCGGTGCCACAATCCTCGGGTGAAATAATTCTCCGTAGCATTGCATTTTGTCTAATCGTAATTTATCATGCGAAATATTGTGCGTAAACTAATGCTTTGCCCCTTCCATTGATGTGTAACAAACCCGGCGTGGCGTTGGTTTTTTTGCACGCTCATTGGCAATGACCAACTGTTTATTCTTACTGATTTCATGTGTCGAATTTCCTCTGTAATTCGTCCTTGTATCACACGAACAATCGGTCAATGAATTGTACGTTGAATTAATGAGTGATTTTTGTTTTCTCGACTTCCGAGCGTTTTGTTTCTGATGTGTCCTAGGTAGTGGCAATCGTTTTTTCCTGCCTATCCATGCAAATTCGACTGAATCCAGATTAGGCACGTAGCGTTCGAC